ACACAGAAATCACTTTCAAACCAAGCAGTTTTCTGTTGGTCAATGCTGAAATTTCACTTGATCAACTTCAACATGACTAAAATCTTTTTCCTTTACACAAAACTCTAGATCGCAAAGATTCCTATAGGAATGAAAATCCTATAGGATTTCACCCACAAAATTTCTATACCTTTATGTCCCTATTTCCTTCAAAAGCATACAGTATATACTATTTAGTATGACCAGTGTAGCCCGATTTACAACTCTTATGATCCATTTAAAAAAAATTGTTTTGAATCATTCTAAAACTGTATAATTACTGAGAGAATATCTTTCATATGTAGCATATATAACTGACATTATAACTGAAATGAAATTGGAATCTATGGAATCTGAATCATATCAAAACGAGAGCTTTGATGAAAAAAAAATTCAAAAATGTTTTTATTGATGCCCTGTCCTGTGAGAGCCCCCGGTGAGAATTTCCTCAAGATCTTAAACCTGATTTTATATCTGTTGAGAGAAAGATAGATTGCAATTTCACTTTAAATGCTAAACAAGAAATCAGACAGAAAAAAAAATGGTTAACCAGCTGGTTAAAACTGGTTTTAAACGAGAGGAAAAAAGGAGCTTCCTTTTTTGTTTTGTTTTGTTTTGTTTTTTGCAGTATTGGGGAAATTTCCTGGTGATGTAACACAGTGGTTGTCATACTGCATGTTAAGAAGACACATCCCTCAAACCTTACATTCTGACTGGAGAATCTTTCCAAGTCTTGTGCTTGACTGTTGTGATTTGAGAACTTGTTATCAGTATACAGGTGTCCAAAATCTTGCATTCCTTAAATCATTCACATGGTTTACAGTGTGTTTGTGAAGGATCAGATGGGCAAAAGCCCTCACAGTAGTTCGAGAGTGGGAGGACCGCCTACGCCTGAAATAGAGAATAATCAGCCTGAGCCAAGAGAACAAGACTGGCAAATACTGACAAAATCCGTCAAAAACTTGCGATCAATTCCATCAGCCACATACAACTGACAGACATCATCAGTGCTGCCCTGTTCCAAGAAACAGGATGTCACTGTTGCTATGAGAGCAGATAGTCGACATGAGAGGGAATGCCAAAAGACGTGCTGCCGACCAAAAAAAATGAGAAAGACATGGCCAATCATGAGAGAGCTGTGGCAGTGCTTCAGAAAGCAGCTCGCTGTTGTAATCAGAGACATCTGAATTGACTCCTTGCCCCATTTCTCCTCCATCTCTTGATTGGTTGTAGACTCCTAGTGTCCCCTGGTGTGTTTAACCAGGCAGACAGGTCACAGAAAACAGTAATATTGTGAAATATTAATTTCTATGCAATTTCTAATATTGGTTTCCTATTTTAATATAAAATATAATTTATTTTTGTGACGCAGCACTGAATTTTCATCAGCCATTTCTCCAGTCTTCAGTGTCACATGATCCTTCAGAAATCATTCTAATATGCTGATTTATTATCAGTGTTGAATCTGTTATGCAGCTTAATTTTTTATTCTTCTTTTTTCTTTTTTGGAACCTGTGAAAAAGTCAAATAGTACAGCATTTGTTCAAAATAGAAATATTTTCTAACAATATAAGTCTTTACTATCACTTTTTATCCATTTAACACATTCTTGCTGAACAAAAGTATTAATTTCTTTAAAAAAAAAAGAAAGAATGAAATTTACTGACCCCAAACTTTTGAATAATAGTGTATAGTGTAACAAAAAATATATATTTTGAATAAACATTGTATTTATCAAATATATTTATCAAAGAATCCTGAAAAATGTATCACAAGTCCCAAAAAATATTAAGCAGCACAACTGTTTCCAACATTGATTATAATTCAGCATATTAGAATGATTTATGAAAACTGGAGTAATGATGCTGAATATTCAGCTTTGCTTCAGAGGAATAAATAAAAAATTGGAAGTAAATTAAAATAGAAAACTCTTATTTTAGATTGCCATATTTCATAAAATTAATTTTTTCTGTATTTTTCATCAAATAAATGCAGCCTTAATGAGCAGAAACTTCTTTAAAAAACATAAAAAATCTTAATAATCCCCACCTTTAGAATGGCGCTTATAGTTTTTATACAATTTTATGTAGCTTTAGTTTTTATTTTGTTTTGTGAGTAATTTTAGTACTTCAGCTTAAAATAAAATTTGTAATGTTTGGCTACTAAATGAAATTAATTTTAATCTTATATTTTATTTCAGCTTTATTTCAGTTACCAAAAACTTGGAATGTATAACATGTCAAAAAACCATTTATGCTTCTGATATGAGAGTTTCTGAAAGTTTCTGAAGTGTCTCCATGAGTGTTTTATTTTTTGCAATCAGTGAATGAGCTCTTGATTGCCTCCAAAGTCAAGGCAGTCATCTTAACTGAGGGAAGAATGCGCCATGTTTCAGACTCGAGAGCTTGTGATGACATGCGTCCCAGTTGTGCGCTCAGTAACAGCCCCGCATAATATGTGCAGTGATGCAGACAGCCTGCGTATCTCTGATTGCCTTGTTCACTCTCACCATAGAGAGTGATGAGGCTGTGAAACAAGGTTGTGTGACGCTTTAACCCTGATGCCAGCCGTGTGATAACGTTTCCCTCCCAGAATTGATTTGACGTTACAGGAGACGTTTAGCTTTCCCTGTGGAATGGTAGGTTACAATAGGGAGACTATTATATTGGTCAGGGGATTCCACACTGGGATGCTGAGGGGTCTGAAAAATCCTGAGAAAAATTGTGTACAAAAAATATATATATTTGAAGTTAGGAAAACAATTAAGTAGTAAAAAGTAGTAAAAGTAAAAAAACAAACAAACAAACAAATAAAAAAAATATCACAAACCATCACACTACCATCACAAAGGCTGGGGCCAGTAAGTTTTTTCAGTGTTTTTGAAAGACGTTTTGTTTGCTTAACAAGGCTGCATATTTTACAGTTTAAAATAACTGTTTTCTATTTTAATATATTTTAAAATGTAATTTATTCCTGTGATGAATTTTCAGTATCATTACTCCAGTCTTCAGTGTCAGATGATCCTTTCAGAAATCATTCTAATATGCTGATTTGCTGCTCAAGAAACATTTCATATTATTATCAATGTTGAAATCTGTTGTTCTGTTCTGAAACATTTTTTTTATGATTTTTTGATTAATAAAAAGTTAAAAAGATCAAAACTTATTTGAATTTTTTTTCTAACTGTGAAAGTCTTTACTATCACTTTGATCAATTTAATGCATCCTTGCTGAATAAAAATTAAAAAAAAATTATAAAATAATAGTAAAAAGCTTACTGACTCCAGATGTTTAAATGCCTTTACATTTTATATTTTATTTTAAGGGGATCTTTATATTTTGAGGTGCTTGGCACCACAATATTTAGGCTGACAGCCCTGCCCTCTCTCTATTTAAATTAGTGGGCAATCAATATAGGTCAACTTTGGCATATGGGACTTATTTGCGGTGTCATTTCATTTTTGCCTGTCAGTGAGGATGTCAGAACATGATATGATTGATTGCCCTGTCGACACTGTCAAATGTGACAAATGTCTCAAGATTTATATCCTACAGTCTGACATAAAAAAACACTTATGTTGCACTGTACAATGTGTACTGTACAATCATACGCTTCTGACAAGCAACAAAAGGACAAAAACTCCCCTGAGTTTGAGTATGTGTGTGAGAGGGTGTTTGAGGTAAGACAAGCGTGAGGTCATGTTAGCAGCGCAGTGAATCTTGTTCGTTGCCCTACGGAGCAGATGTTCCCAGGGAACACAAGGACACGTTACTGCTCCTGGGGGACAAAGCGTGTTAAGGGATAAAAGATCAAAGATCACCACACTTAGAGCCTGACAAGGGCTATTACACTCAAATCTGAGTCAAACACACACCAACATATTTTGATGTTGAGCTGAACACAAATAAATCTTTAGTATCCACACATTTGTATTAAGCTGATACAAAAAAATTAATAGTTGAAGAAATGTTCCCAGTAATAAAGCAGGTTAGAATCGATTCGGTATGTTCTCAGGTACGGAGAGAGTGTGTGGGCTGCTCTGGGGCAGCTTACCTCAGCTGATTGTATTGTGGGAAAAGGCCTTGAATTACTAAATTGCACCTGTGGGATCAAAGGCAGACCTCCGTCAAACTCTCAATATGTGTCCGTTTTTTTACTTCAAATTCCTATTCACAGCTCCTGCATTTTCCGTCACCACATCGGATAACACCCAAGCTTTCTTGGATAACCAGCCTCAGTGGATGAGAGGGATTAGCCTTTTTCATTAAGTGATTGACCCAACCATTCTTTCCATTATCGTTTTAAACCCTGCATTACATTTGACGGCACTCCACAGGCCCGGCCTCCTGCTCTCTCGCTGCACCTGAGCATTAATGCGAAAATGACTCCCTCCGTTGCAAATTCAACCTCCATTTCCTGTCGAGGTCTTGCATTGGATTTTTTTTAACAATTGCAGGGGATTTGTCATTGTATTTTATCTCAAATTGGTCTCCCTTTTCAATTTAGTCAATGGCTTGTCTTTAATGATTGACGTTTGGCTGAAATTGGATTTCTTCTCATTTTCTTGATCATGGAGAACTTCTATTTTGTACTATTTTTTACTGTAACTTAAATCACAGTATGACATGCATGTTCTCTGTGCTCCTTTAGGGGTTTCTGGACATCGACCTGACAGAGTTTAAGAAGAGTGAAGCGAATGTAACAGGCTTCCAGCTGGTGAACTATGCAGACCGTAACATCAGTAGAATAGTGCAGCAGTGGATGGACTTTGACAATAAAGACGCCAAAGTTCCCAAGCGAGGACTGAAGGTGAGCCGCTCAACTGACTACAGTGTGAAGAACTGATTCTGCCCTGACAGATAATAAATAAAAGCAAAGCAACAACATGTAATTAAGTTGTATAATGAATCACTGGCACAGTTCTAGAGAGCACAATTGTATTACATCAAAATCTGATGACAAAATACAAAAGGCATTTGATTCTTCAAAATGAAAAGACATTTAGTCGAATAGTCAATTTAAACAGATTTTAACACAAAATTATATTATAAACTGTTATATATAATTATCATTTATACCATATTTAGATATATAAATATACTTCTCATATGTCTCTCTGCATTCTTTGTGCAGTACACTGGAGCTCTCACATATGATGGAGTCAAAGTTATGTCCACAGCCTTCCAGAACCTCCGTAGGCAGAGGATAGATATATCTCGCCGTGGAAATGCTGGAGAATGTCTGGCCAACCCACCAGCACCTTGGGGACAAGGCATCGATATTCAGAGAGCACTTCAGCAGGTATCTCACGCTGTTGGCTCTGCACACAGACATATTTTTGAACGAACATAGTGTTCACAAACCTTCCTATCTGTAAGAATGACACCGGCTCTAATCTATTCTGAGTGTACAAAATGAAACCCCAATAAGCAAATTACGTCTTTATCTCATAAAGTTCACATTGATTCACCAAAGAGACCATCACAATCAAATGTGACACTACAGATAATAAACAAACCCAGTTGGTGATAAACATTTATGCTGCTCATAACAGCACATGACAAGTTATATTTACAAAGAGATACATGAGGGAAAGAGCACCTGGCTTTGTTGTGTTACCCTTAGGCAGATGTTTGTCTCTTTGCCTTGGGCGGCGTATGAAGATTTAGGAGCCGAGGGTTGAATTTGGCAGGCGAGGTGGAGCAGAATTTGTTACCAAATGGAAAATCTGTAGAAATGCACTCTGTTTGAGAAACCGTACACAAATTGGTATTTTTCTTCCAGCCGTATCACGTGTTTCTCCTTTTCACTTAATTATAAGTCTGAAAAAGTCTAAGCAATGTAGTAAAGTCAGTGTGTAGCATTCTTCTTGCAGGAGTCGACTCTGTCTCACTGTTGCCTGTGGCTGTGTCTGATGAGAGTCTGATGTGTGCTGGACTGAGGCAATTTGGTCCATCTGCTGAGAGGCCGTGGAGATTGATGTTCAACTCGGTCAATTAACTCCATCATGCGGCCTGGGAGACATTCAGTACTGTACACACAGAAGAGGAGGAATACTTGAGAGAGAAAGAGAGAAAGAGAGAAAGAAAAGGCGAGGTGGAGCAGAATTTGTTACCAAATGGAAAATCTGTAGAAATGCACTCTGTTTGAGAAACCGTACACAAATTGGTATTTTTCTTCCAGCCGTATCACGTGTTTCTCCTTTTCACTTAATTATAAGTCTGAAAAAGTCTAAGCAATGTAGTAAAGTCAGTGTGTAGCATTCTTCTTGCAGGAGTCGACTCTGTCTCACTGTTGCCTGTGGCTGTGTCTGATGAGAGTCTGATGTGTGCTGGACTGAGGCAATTTGGTCCATCTGCTGAGAGGCCGTGGAGATTGATGTTCAACTCGGTCAATTAACTCCATCATGCGGCCTGGGAGACATTCAGTACTGTACACACAGAAGAGATGCTGTGAGAGATGTACACCCCTCAGAGGAGGAATACTTGAGAGAGAAAGAGAGAAAGAAAGAAAGAAAGAAAGAGTACTGTACTACTGTACACACAGAAGAGGAGGAATACTTGAGAGAGAAAGAGAGAAAGAGAGAAAGAAAGAAAGAAAGAAAGAAAGAAAGAAAGAAAGAAAGAAAGAAAGAAAGAAAGAAAGAAAGAAAGAAAGAAAGAAAGAAAGAAAGAAAAAAAATTTTTTTTCTAAATACAGACAATCTTCTATGTGATTTTTACTCAGGTTCGGATTGAAGGCCTAACGGGACACATTCAGTTTAACGAAAAAGGACGAAGGACAAACTACACTGTCAGTGTGATGGAGCTCAGGCCGACAGGACCAAAAAAAGTAAGTACTTAAATATCAGGAAAAGGATTAGGAAGCCTTTTGATATGGCAGACTGTTTCACACTTCTTGCTTCACTTATAGTTTAAACGAAACATTCACTTGATAAGCTCCAGTATTTCAGCAATCCAGTCTACTTCCTCTGGGATGACTAAATGAGTACTGTATTTCATGTAGTGTCTCCTGTGGGATATCTCAGAAAGGTTCCTGATGATGCTCAAGTTCCTGTCCCTGATTTGATCTTTTCTCAGGTGGGTTACTGGAATGAGGATGAGAAATTTGTGAGCACGGCGGCCTACATGCCAGGCAGTAATGACACTTACGGACTTCAGAATCGCACATATATTGTTACCACTATTCTGGTATGTCTTCTTTAAATAATTTACATGATTTGCTCATTTAAACTTCTATGGTATTGAAAACATTATTATTTATAAGTTTGGTGCCAAGTAAGATTTTTTTTAACTATTTTGTTCAGCAAGGACACATTATATTAATCAAAAGTAGCAGTAAAGACATGCATAATGTTACAAAAGATTTCTGTTTCAAAGAATCCTGTATCACAGAAAATAATCACAGTTTCCACAAATATATTATGCAGCACAACTGTGTTCAGCATTGATAATAATAATAAATGTTTCTTCTGCATCAAATCAACATATTATTTGATTTCTGAAGGATCATGTGACACTGGAGACTGCAGTAATGGCTGCTAAAATTCAGCTTTGCCATCATAGAAATAAATCTCATTTTAAATATATTTAAATAGAAAACCTTTATTTTAAATTATAATAATATTTCACAATAATACTGTTTTTGCTGTATTTTTTATCAAAAGCATGCAGCGTTGGTGAGCATAAAATTTTACAGACCCCAACATTTGTAGTCGTAGTGTGTATTCAAAGTTATTGCAAGTCATGTGTTCCAGATATTCCTACACCTTTATATTTTCATGAAATAAATTATATCACTGTTTGTATGTCATATTTCATTACGCAAACAGCTCAAGAGAACTGAGACAGTCATCATTTAACATGCCCTCCTAACATGCCCAGTAGAATTTAATGTTAGTAATAATTTGTTTGAATGATTTATAGTTTCAGTGTAACTTGGCTGTAGTTGCATGTTATTTGTTCATTGTGAGCTCCTTAGAAAAGTCCTGTTACTGAGTGCGCTGTCAGCTGGGCCTCAGGTGCAGTTTGTGCTGTATTCTCCTCAGGATGTCCAATCTTTGTGAAATATCACAATTGAACTGCTAACTCATATTACAGACTTTCCACAAATAGAATCACCCTGCACTTTCTACACAGTTGATTGCCAGGTCTGTCCCTCATGCTCAAGAATAAGGCATCTGAAAATAAACCTAAGTTCACCATGTTTTAAGTAACAAACCACTATTTTTTATCAGCTTCGTCAACTCTTTCTTACCCCGGCTCTCAGTGTCTTAAAATATGGTTTCCATAATGCTTACACTGTTTCTACTGGATTAGACTAAATCTAAATTGTTCCCATTATAATCAGTGGAGCTGTCTGCATTGCCTATTGAATCGCATCTGGTGCAAAGTGCCTTCAGTTGATTTTGATCTTATTTCTCATGTCTTTCTTAAATGTAATATATTAAACAGACATCATATGTATATTTTGTATAATACATATTGTATACTGTATGTATAGTATGTATTTTAGTATGTTATAATCAGTATAATAAATATCTTATATAAATAAATAAATCTAATTTTATATAAATATATAAATGTACAACTTTAAATGTAATATTATTTAACAAAAGTAAAAATAGATGTAAAAAAACTATTAATATAAAAATCAAAAACATAAATTTGCATTCAAGGTAAAGTATGATATACAGTCATACTGACATTTTTAGTGTAGAATCCCCAATAGTTAAACATAACAGGTCTGTCACACAAATATACTGTAATTTTTTGTTGTTCACTGTATATGTCTGTCTACCTGTGTGTCCTGACTAGGAATCACCGTATGTCATGCTGAAAAAGAACCACGAGCAGTTTACTGGAAATGATAAGTATGAAGGTTACTGTGTGGAACTGGCAGCTGAGATAGCCAAACACGTGGGATACCACTACATACTCAAGATAGTGGCTGATGGGAAATATGGAGCCAGAGATCCTGAGACCATGATGTGGAATGGGATGGTGGGAGAGCTCGTCTATGGTGTAAGTGCTACATGTTATTTTCTTTCTGCATATATCCGGACTTCAATATCAAAGCGTTAAGGATTAATGCAAGAGAACACAAAGAACCCAATAGCCGTTTACCAGTTATGCCACTGATTCAGAAAATTGACTGGTTTTAAAATCTGAATCATTTTAAAAGAGGAGAGGAGGTTTCAGTAATTGAACCAAAAGGCTTCATATTTTCACCACAGTGACAGTAATAATAACAGAGAGTGAAGAAAACTCTTTCTGGAAAGGTGTTTAGATAGAGGTTGAGAGGTTAGAACAAGTCTGCTCTGTATTTATAGGACACATTTTCGATAAACACAACAAGTAAGAAAAATGACTGTAGCAGGTCTTTGTCCTAGATTTACTTCTTTTTTTTCCTGGGTCCATGTGTAATTGAATTATATGTTTAACAATATATATTTAGTGTTTATTGCAATAACATCATACGTTCTTCTGCAGAAAGCTGACGTAGCTGTAGCCCCACTAACCATCACCCTGGTCAGGGAGGAAGTCATTGATTTCTCCAAGCCCTTCATGAGCCTCGGCATCTCCATCATGATCAAAAAGCCCACCAAGTCCAAGCCTGGTGTGTTCTCCTTCCTGGACCCTTTGGCCTATGAGATCTGGATGTGTATTGTGTTCGCCTACATCGGCGTGAGCGTGGTGCTTTTCCTAGTCAGCCGCTTCAGTCCCTACGAGTGGCACGCAGAGGACTGCGAGGAAGGAGCAGAGCAGAACCCTAACCAACCCTCCTCGTCATCCGCTCAACCGGGACAGGGCCAGCAGAACCAGAACCAGCAGAGTCAGGAGCAGACCAACGAGTTTGGTATCTTCAACAGTCTCTGGTTCTCATTGGGTGCTTTCATGCAGCAAGGCTGTGATATTTCCCCCAGGTAAGATGCCAGTTTGTTTTTGTTCAGTGTTTTTGCAACTAGTTTTGCTTCAGGGTTTCATGTTGGACATAAAGTGGTGACTCAACAATCATGAACAAAAATTGTCCGCAAAATTGAAGACTTTTATTACTGGATTCTAAACTTTGATGGGTTCATGCGCAAAACTATGGAAGGTCATTTCCGCCACTGAATAAAAATTGTAAAAAAAAGGTAATGGCTTGTGTTTATCTCACAATTCTGTCTTCTTTTTTTTCTCGCAATTGCGAGTTTACATCTCACAATTCTGACTTTTTTTTCTCAGAATTGTGAAATGTAAATTCATAGTTGGGAGTTATAAAGTCACAATTGTGAGATATAAACTCGCATTTCTGAGAAAAAAAAAAGTATGAATTGCGAGATATAAACTTGCAATTCTGACTTTTTTTCACAGAATTGCATGATATGAAATCGCACTTGAGAGTTAAAAGTCAGAATTGCAAGATAAAAACTCACAATTCTGACTTTTTTCTCGCAAATGCAAATTTGTATCTCACAATTCTGACTTTATAATTCCCAATTGCAAATTTACATCTCACAATTCTGAGAAAAAAAGTCTTTATTTGTCAGAATTGCAGCTTTATTTCTCAGAATTGCGAGATTTAAACTCACAAGTTTTTCCCCACAATTTTGAGTTTATATCACACAATACTGACTTTATAACACGCGAGAAAAAAGGAATTGTGAGATAAAAAAGTCGCAATTACCTTTTTTATTTTTTATTCAGTGGCGGAAACGGGCTTCCATACAAAACAGTTTATGCTCATTGCAAATTCATTTCTATTCAATGTTATTTGGGTTGTAATTATTTATTTGTTTATTTTTACTTTGCAAAGTTTTCTTCATGGCTAGTTTGACGGCATAACATGCAACCTGTCCATGTTGGCATTCATCTAATTTGACTTTGACCAAGTGACAGATGAATTTGCAGCAAAATACAGTAAAGTTTGATTGGGCACACAGCGTTTGACACCAGCAGAACAAGACAGGGGAAGCAATTTAATTTAGTTTATGAGCAGTTTATTTTCCTAGCTTACTCTGCTATACCATTGCCATTTCATTATGATGATTTCTTCATCATCGATTTCAGTTGTGAATGACGCAACGGTTCACAGCAATCATATAGATTCCCATGCTGAAGATGTTCAAATCTTTCTTAAATGTTTGGGGTCTAGTGATTTCTCAGTGGTGCTGTTGTGTGGCTCTTGGCAGATTACTGAGTTGTGTTTGTAGTTTAGTAATTCCTCATGTGCACAGCTGGTTTGTGGTAAATGGTAGTATTTCTGAAGATCAGATAGAGCTGCACATCCACTTGGACCGGACACAAGCCTAATGCCACAGTGTCTAATGAGAGGAAGGCAGCAGCTCTTTGAAAGGCAGATTAAAGTGCTGTGAGCGCTACATCGGAGCCTGTTACGCTGTGCTGCTGGTGCGCAGGGCCAGAGATGAAGTGTCTCTCTCTACACAGTTGCTGGACTCTCAAAGGTCACCAATTAAAATCCTAATTAATAGGGGGTGAAGCTGGCAACATGATGTCAATTGCTGTGGGTTTTAAGGGCACAGGGAGGGATAGTGCAGTAGGTCTCATAGGGAAATGTCAGTGGCTGTGTTCAGGCACCAGACAGCTTTCACACCTGTAGGCAACAAATTTAAGTCTAGTTGATGCTTAAAACTAACATTACAGATGGATATCCTAGATTCCAGGTTCTGCAATATAATTAAATGTTTATCTGATATGTCAGCCTCTTTTAAAAAGGTTATAAATGTGTGGCTGAGGTTGATATATGTCTGTTTTATTACATATTGAGTGGCTTAAATTTTATTCAAGGTATATGTGTTTTTCTCTGTTATCATTCTCTGTGAATCATAAGCTGTTCTAAATGGTAGGCAACTCAATTATGCTTTCTAATTTCATCTAATTTCAGACTAAATTAATCTATTGCATTGAATATTGAATCCTAGAATGCATTGCAACAAGCTCAGCTAGTGGAAAACTTGGGAGAAGTAGTTATTATTAAAGAAAGCATTTAATTCATTATTGAAAATTATCTGTGTAGACAGTAAGGATGCTCATTGTGATTTGGAACAGAGCTCATATGATGTTTTTTCCAGTTTTGCCTGTGAATGTCATTCCATCAACATAGCAATAATTGCACCCTTCCTTTTTTGGAGGGGACAATTACTACTATAAGCATAATTACGAATGGGTATGTTGGCAGGGAGTCATTAAGAATTTGAGCTGTGAGGAGTAAATCATGAGTTCAGTTACACAGGTAACATCTCTCACAACGTTTAGCGTAGGTTTTATGTTCAGCAGTGCCTGCAGTTGTATATCATCATGCACTTTGCTTACCATATGTGCTCACTTTTTGCTTTTAATATTATTATTATGTAATTCCTGGCATTTAGTAATTAGATACCCGATTTGACTACAAGAATGAGAGAAAAAGCAGTGTGTTGATTAATCTTTTTGAATTATTAAATGCTGCTTTTTGATTAACAATGACTGTCCTACAGAAGCTAGTTTGCGCTGACATAATGGTAGGATGTCCACAGCACCATGCTGTCACTTTGGTTCCCAGTGTGCACTGTGTGATATGAATAAATTATACTGTTGCAGAACCACAATAGTATTGCAAGCCTCCTTCCTCTGTAGTTGTTCTGTTATATTCATTATATTCATGTTTTTGAAAGAATTCTATTATTTACCAAGGCTGCATCAATTAGTAACATTGTAAAACTGAAATATTATTACAATTTAAAATAGCTGATCTCTATGTTAATATATTTTCAAATGTAATTTATTTTAAATTGTACTTTATTCCTTTTTATTATTATTTTTGTAACTATGTAAAGGTGTTCACTTCTGATCAATTTAATGCATCTTTGCTATATATATGTAATATATATGCTATATATATAAAATATAATTTATATATATATAATTTATATAATTTATTTATAATTTATATAATTTATGGATAAAATAATACTTTTATTTAGCAAGGATGCATTAAATGCATGAAGATGCATAATAGTAGTATATATATATGTGACCCTGGACCACAAAACCATCTTAAGTCGCACGGGTATATTTGTAGAAATAGCCAAAAATACATTGTATGGGTCAAAATTATCAATTTTTCTTTTATGCCAAAAATCATTGGGATTTTAAGTAAAGATCATGTTCCATGAAGATATTTTGTAAATTTGTAAATATATCAAAACTTAATTTTTGATTAGTAATATGCATTGCTAAGAACTTCATTTGGACAACTTTAAAGGCGATTTTCTCAATATTTTGATTTTTTTGCACCCTCAGATTCCAGATTTCCAAGTAGTTGTATCTTGGCCAAATATTGTCATATCCTAACAAACCATACATCAATGGAAAGCTTATTTATTCAGCTTTCAGCTGATGTAGAAATCTCAATTTCACAAAATTATATATGTATATATATATATATATATATATATATGGCTCTCATCAATTACCACCACCAGGCTAGCTCTTTCTCATCAATTACATAAAATAATTTAAAGTACTTTGCTTTGTTGGTATGGAAAATGACCTTAACCTGTACTAATTCACAGTGATAAATCTTGCACAATCCTGCACAGTTTACAGTCTGTCATCCAGCATATCAGAACATACAAGCAGTGTATGTTTCTGTGAGCTCCTGTATGAATTGATTGTTCTGTCTCAGCAGTGGTGTTGAAATGTCAGCGGTGTGAGGGAGATCAGCACGCCGCTTTCCTGTGGATGTCTCCTGTGATGGGGCGCAGAGAGGCTTCAGAGGATCTTAATTAGACCGTGTCATTTCTCGCCGTGACTCAGACTCTGCAGAGTGGAATCGACAATGTTGTAGTGATTATACCTTCTCTCTCCGTGTCACTGAAGTTCTATAAACAAGTGAGGACAGGTTGCGGATGGTGTCCGCATTGCGTGTGAACATGTTTCGCCGTCTTGAACATGCCACCTCAGACGTCGCTGTATGAGTAGCCATGCGTGACTGGATATTCATGATTCTGTTTGTGTGATGACATTTAATTAGTAATGAGAGGAGAGAGTGGACGATAGAGCGAGTGCGGCAGCAGCATTAACAAGTTCCATTATGCTTCTTTAATCACGGTTAGACGGAGCTTCTTCTCTCTGTGATCATCTGCATTTGAATTTACACACTCAGTCCTCCCATCTAATGAGCGCTGATAGGTTGAATGGTGAGTGGTCTGGATGCTCAATGGTAACAGTCAGACTATGGTTTGCCCCTACATGTGCTATTTATTCTTTGGGAGAAAAAAATCCCTGTTCAAATGTCAGACCTGTCACTCAAACCTCCCCATCAGACCTAATTTATGCAAGCCACTCAAGATCATGTTTATCTCCTCAGACACATGGTGCCCACAATCTCAAATCTTACACTGTTATATTGTCCTTCTCTTCTCTTCTCTTCTCTTCTCTTCTCACATGATTTTATTGACTATCCATTTATAAGTTTTAAAATCGTAAGAAAAATTATACCTACTGTATATGTATATATATATATATATATATATATATATATATATATATATATATATAAGGGCTGGGCAAGTTAACGCATTATTATCGTGTTAACGCATTGATTAATTAACGCGACAATTATTTTATTGCACATTAATGCAGTTTTTTAATTATTATTATTATTATTTTGAAAGTCCGTTGCTCACTGGCTCTGAATACACATACAGACAAACCATGGGTCACAGGAGGGGTGGGATGTTGATCAGTACTGGATTGGGTTGAGCGGCATTACGCGTATCAACCAATGAGAGCATTTGGGGTGGGCCTAAAGACTGCTGCAGCGCTCACATGAATTATCCCGATAAAATTATTTAGGCTAAGCATCAACATTCACAAACCACTGTTCACTGTTATTTTCAACAGAAAAGCAAGCATGGGGTGCTGCGTGCATGGTTTGGCATGGCAGAATGCGAGTAGTGCTCCCATATTATCACTAAAATCCTGACACCTCAGTTCA